AATTCCTGGATTTTTGTTCTTGGTTGTGGTTTGGATGAATGGGCAAAGTGGGTGGCTATTGGGAAGGCTGGGTGACTTTGATGCAGTGGTTGAGCCAGGTCTGACAGTGTGGCCTTATGGTGGCAAAAAAGAGGCTTAACAAAACTGATTACCTTGTGTTTATGTAATGACGTTAATAGCAGTCACATTTTTTGTTGCTGGTTTTAAGAAATGACTCTGTGAGATTAGCCTTCAGGAATGCCCTCTACCTTCCAATCGTGGAATTGATTTTTAACTGTTAAAGGGATATTAATGCAAGATCCATATTGAAAAAAAGACTCCATATTCACACTTTCCCTCTGTTACAGCATTAAATATCAGGCAAAGCTGGGTGAGTAAGTCTACTTGTACAGTAGTTGATAGAATAAAAAGTTACCGTGCAGTATAGGATATGAATAAAGTGTAACAAATATAACTCAATAAAAGGCGACAGCAAAAAGACACATTTTGTTATTAACACTTCATTTCTGGTAGTATGACCATTCAGGTCAGAGAATGGACCCTTCAGGACCTCCATATCATTTGTGCCAAGTAGTCGCTGTCCTTGAAATGGAATTTAGACTAATCTAGGGGTGTGCCTGAATGTCCCACACAGTTTTTCCTTGTCTAGTAATGCTTTGCCATTTGCCATGTGAATGGAGCACTGAGATCCAATAATACTCAGGATAAAATGAATACAAACCTCTGTGGGTTGAGTGATATGGGGCTTCTTCGCAGAGGGTTCTACAATCTAGAATCTTCATGCATTACTTCAGTGTGCAATGAGTAAAATACTGAGTTGTGCTAGTCCTGTCAGTTTATAAACTGTAATATTGGGTGTCATGATCCCTTTTTCCCACCATCCCTGTGCTCACCCCACAAATGGTCGGGCAGATGGCTGCCTTCCCTGAGCCGGGTTCTGTCAAAGGTTTAATTTGTCCTCCCCATTGATCGATTTTTTGTTTTGGTGTTTGGTTCCTTCTCACAGTCTTGCTTGCTCACAGGGAATCCAAAGTGAAATTTGGATTGTTGGACTCTCTGTTCTCTGTTTAAAATTTGTTAAGTGCTATGACATGATATATGCTGTGAATTGGTGTTATATAATTAAACTTAAATTGAATTGAATGAATGAATGAATGAATGAATGAATGAATGAATGAATGAATGAATGAATGAATGAATGAATGAATGACAGCTTAACTGGTTCAGCAGGTAACCCATGAATAGGGGCTAAAGGTCCCCACTGCAGTGGCATGGATCTATTCTGACTCATGACGCATGATTTGCTGCTTGTCATTTCCCCACTCTTCTTCATCACCTTTCCTGTCACTGTTCTATAGTAATGGTCAACTTGGCCAAAAAAAACCATCAGTGTTATTTACATATTTTGTTCTTTATGATATGGGAAAGTTAACATGGTCATTGTGCCTACAATTTCTTGGTTATTATAACTTAATAGGTGAGTTTACCAGTTTGAATTTCCCAAAACCCTCATGTGTTCTTGGGTCAAACAGTAAAGGAAGAATTTTCCAGCTTGCTATTCCAAAGGTCCCTTTGCCGTATGTGTAGAAGCGGGCACACACTGCAGTTGGCTGTCATGTCTTCCCCTGTATGCTCCCTCTTTATTAGACAGCTCACTCAAGGGACTGTGAGAAAGAAAGAATTTTTGATAAAAAGTGAGCGCGCAGATTGAAGTTCTTACAAACAGAGTGAGGCACAGAGTTGTTACCCTCCTATTAACTCTGACTCTTTGTCAGCTTTCCATCTGCGTGAATGTGCAAAATCCTAGCTTTAAAATTCCTATGCCTCTTGAGTAAAATAGTCCTGATACAACCCAGGCCCACCTTCTGTCACCTGGACAACAAACCTCCCTTCATTACTTTCACGGCTACCCATGCAGACATACACTCCTTCATCTGCTGCATACGTTCTACATAAAACTTTAATGACAAATATTCATTAAAAAGCATTGATTCAGATGCCTTGTCAACACGGACACAGACAGCAGCAGACACCATGGATGCATAATTGTTGCTTTTTTACTTCTTTTGGACTTTTTGGACTCAGTACACATGATCAGCCATGACAGGCGCCCCTGGAGCAGATAGGGTTAAGTCTTGCTCGAGAACAGAATGTAAAATGTAGGCACAGGTAGTACAGATGAAGGAGTTTGTTTGGTTTGGGGATTAATTACCACTAACCCTTATGGCTGTACTGCCATATAACTGGATGGTGTGTGGTTAGACTGACCTGCTCCAGTTCGAGCTATTTTTTTCAGTCATATGTTGAATTTGAAGGGAACAGATGAAGAAATATCTTTGAAATATTAGTTGTAGGAGAGGCAGTACTGCGAAGGGAGACAGGTTGTCCAGTGCACATAAGGAGTGTGATTCGCCAATGCAAGGCTAAACATCAGTCACAAGATCCAACCATGATACTGCCCACTGTGTCCATATCTGTCTGAATGTGTGATAAAGGCAACAGATGCAGACTAACCCAGCCCAGCAATGCCTGGCCTGGTCTATGCGCTGCCCCCGCTCCAGTCTAATCCTGTACAAGGCCTCACCACTTCTTCTGCTCCTCTCGTTCAGGATCTGAGCTCATGCCGAAAGCCCTCTCCACCAGAATTGTAGGAGGAATCTGGTGGTTTTTCACGCTCATCATCATCTCCTCCTACACTGCAAACCTGGCGGCCTTCCTCACTGTCGAGAGGATGGAGTCGCCCATCGACTCTGCAGATGACCTGGCCAAGCAGACAAAGATAGAATATGGAGTGGTTGAGGATGGGTCCACCATGACCTTCTTTAAGGTTAGTTTCAGCTGGATTTTATTAAACCAACTGCAGTTCTTTGTCATGTAGCAGCCTGCTGCACTCACCCAGGGATATTCAGGCATCCTTATTGACACAACTGTGCATGTATTTGGATTATTTTATGATGATATAGGAGTTTTTGGGGTTTTTTGTATCATCTCCAGGGTGAACTGCGACAGCAACTTTAATATCTTAAAGTGATGGTACATCAATAATTATAGTTAAACACAATCCATCATACTGAAATGATCCATTCTGCATTCTAAGTACTTTTGCTTTTGTTACTTTAAATATATTTTGAAGCAAATATGTCTGCATGTTTATTTCAATAAAATTATAACACTTTATGTATTGTATGACACTGTGGTATTACTATATCTTACTCCTTTTCCACCTTCCTGTGCTGGTGCTAGGGCCAGTACTTAGTTGGTTCCAATCTGGCACCTCATAAGAACCTGCTTTTCCATTGGCAAGGAGCCAAGTTAGAGCCACGCCATACATCACTGCATACGTAGCTGTTTACCGAACAATGCTCATGCCATACGGAAGTCCACACAGGACTCCAACTTTTTTTTTTTTTTTCTTCTTTCTTGCTCCTGGCAAAAAACCACACAAACCACCGCTTGTGTGTTCATCGCTCTCGGAGGTCACGATACCCCCCCCCAGCCCCTGACGTACTCTGTGCTTAGCTCTGGCCCACCAAAGAGTTGGTTCCTGAAAAGCACCAGTTTTTGGAGCCTGCTTAGGTGGTGGAAACACAAAGAACTGGTGCCAAGTCAGGCACTGAACTGGCACTGGAACCAGCTCGGTGATAAAGGGGCCTCTGAGTACATCTTCCACTATTGTGAATTTGTGTGGCATTTAGGGACAGACAAAAAAAGAAGGAAAAAACTACCTCCCGGTGTTGTTTTTTGTTAAATCCTCCAACTTGGTAAAAGCCAGAGTCTTTCGAACCCATACTCTTTATGCTGTCGCCTTTCCAGAAAAAAAACAACTTTCCATATATAAGCTAAAAAATGGAATATTCATTGCTGAAATCATGTAGAGTGATTTTTTTTTTTTTTTTTTTTTCCAGTAACGTGCTCTCTGGATTCAGCAAATCACTTGTCAGTGCCTTCCAAAAGTTATGTAGCTGTTAATAAAACTACGTTTTCCAATCTCCTTCCTTTATGGTTTAAGCTTGATCAGGTTTAGGCAGAAAAAATCAACCTAATTATATCACTTCCACCTGACAGATATAATTTGCATGACCACATGGGTTCTTTTCTCATGTGAGTACAGTCTCTTTATGAGACTTGACAAAGCTTTTTTAGAGCCATAGATTATAGTACACCATCACTCCACTTTTGTTTTTTGTTTTTGTAAGGTGGCGATCATTGTTCATGGTACCTAATCAAATTATCCATTGTTTATAAGCTCAAAGCTTCATAGTTCAGCTTAACCACCACTTTCTTTTAAAGTGACATTTCTATTGGCTACTGGACAGATTGCTAAAGGATTTTTCATCTAGTACCATGAGTCAGTCAGTTGTTTTCCTTCATCCTATCAACATATTTTATCTGGTACTAGTTTAACTGAAGGGCATGTCCATGTTTTCCAGGTGGAAAATACAACAGTATTGAAATCATCCTGTTCCAGAGATTCAGAACCTGTCTAGTTTTCCTGTGCTAAAACAAGAGTGATAAAACTGTCTTCACAACCTGACTCCATGTGTGACTGAGACTGGGTTAGTTTAATTAAACACATTAAACTTTGAAATAGGTTTCATGTGTGCACAATGCAAGTTCTTAAAATAAAGATATTAGATATTTTGACCCAGGGTCCCTCTACAAGACAGGGCCTTAGAATTACGTAATAATGAAACACATGGCATCATTCAATTCAATTCAATTCAATTGTATTTATAGAGCACATATTTACAAGTCATCTCATAGCGCTTAACAAAGGCAGAAACACCCAACAATCCAAAACATTTGGATTCCCTATAAGCTTCAGCAGTCCGCAAGCAGTCTGCAACAGTGGGAAGGAACCGAAAACCCCCACAAGGGAAAAAAACCTTCGACAGAACCAGGCTCAGGGAGGGACGGTCATCTGCCTCGACCGGTTGGGTGGATGTAGGATGAATTCTAAAATAATATAATTGTGAAAGGTGCCAGTTCCCAACAAAATTAGATTGTATCAAAAATCAGTTGACACATAATAAACTGGGGTACTTTGAGGCCACTGGGTGCCTGTGAGCTTTTGCCCACTTTGACCAGTTTGTGTTCTAGTCTTTCCCTAAAAGTCCCTCTCTGATTGTTGATTTCAACCCTAAAAACTCATCTCTGTGCGTGTATGTCTGAAAATTAATTGCTATTGCTTACTTTGGAATGTGCATGTTTGACCTCCAAAGTGAGTCTAAAGAAGAATCGTGAGACAGAAAGTCCCACCACAACGTTGACGTATTTAATACATATTAAACCCTGGAAATCTCAGTCTGTGTTGTTGAGATGTTCATCACACAATGCAATTTCAGTTGGAAAAGTTTCAGTTTAACTGCTCAGTTTGTTCATGACATATCTTCTAACCATTTGGGATTTTCACTGATGGGGATCTCAAGAAAAATCAGAATGCATGTTAGTAATTAATTACCACTAGCTCTCCTCATTGTTTCATGTGATCACGTAAACATGCATCTATTTTCTATGGCCATTTATTATGTTTAGGGTCATGAGAATCCAGAACTTTCATCTGTCATTCATACTGCAAACTCCTTAAGAAAGAGGCCTGTGCAGAAAGAGCATGTTCAAACCCAAGACCTTCTTGCTGTGAGGTGACAGTGCTCAACACGAAGCCACTGTTCCACCATGATCAAATACTGCCGTACCATTTTGCCAGTGAAATAGCTTGTAAGCATGCAGCCGTAAGAGTTCTTTCCCTGCCAAGGCTCTGCTTGGTAATCCCGTCTGTGTAGGATCGCATAGATTGTGTGCTGCATATCAAGGATATTCTGTTAGTCCAGCCAAGTTTGAAAATTTCCCTGCGTTAGATGTCCTTTTTTTTTCTCTTGCAATCTGTAGATGGCACTCGGACAGATTTGAGATTTATCTTTTCTTCACACCTCATTTTCATCCATCTGTGCAATAAGACACATGCGTTCACAGGTACTGCTCACACACAGGAACACAGTAATGATTAATATGTTTTTGTGTGTCTCGTCTTCACACTGAAGCATACTCACACCAGTTCATTAGAAAACTTATGTGGTGATAGCTGTGCAGTCTCTTTATCATTATACCAAACAAATTAATGAAAACAACAGTTGGTCTACGAAGCAGCATATGCGCTTCTTAATCATCCTACCTATGCTGAGGTCCCTCCGTAGCCATAATTTACAGCTTCAGGTCAGACACTGTTAGTTCAAGCCATTTGCGCATTATACGCTAAGCTGGGATGCAGTGAGGGAAATAAGCATTTGATCCTCTGCATATTTTATATTTTTGGTCACATACAAAAAAATAAATAAATAAAAAATGGCCTATAATTTTTAACGGTAGGTTTGTTTCAACTGTAAGAGAAAGAAAATAATATCAACAAGAAAAATCCAGAATAATATTGTCTAACAGTTATACATTAATTTCCAGTTGATCAAAGGAAATACATATTTGATCCCCTTCCTACCAACAACAATTCTGGCTCCCACAGATTGGTTATGTTGCCAAGAGATACATGTATAAGCCCATTCTGCTTCAGAAACTGATCATCCAAACTGTTTATGTGTACATATGTGGAAGAAACCTGTCCAAGTGATCACACTTTGGTCTTGCCCATGGTGGTGAAGTTGAAGATACAAAGAGTTTTTCAAAGGCATCAGAGACAAGATTGTAGAGCTTCACAAGGTTGGAAAAGATCCACAAGACCATCAGCAAACAACTTGGTAAGAAGGTGACAGCTCTCTGTGCAAAATTTGCAAATGGAAGAAGGACAAAACAACAATCAGTCTTCCTTGGTCTGGAGCTCCACACAAGCTCTCACTTCGTGCAACATCGATGGTCATCAGAAAGGTCAGGAATCATCCCAGAACTACACAGGAGTAACTTGTCATTGATCTCAATGTAGCTGGGACTACAGTCACGAAATAAACCATTGGTAACACACTGTGTCCTAATGGTTTAAATTCCTGCAGTACCTGCAAGGTCGCCCTGCTCAAAAGGGCACATGTACAGTCTTCCAGCAAAATAATGATCCAAAGCATTTGGCCAAGGCCACAAAGGACTGGCTCAACAAGAAGCACATTAAGGTCATGGAGTGGCCTTGCCAGTTTCCAGACCTTAATGCTACAGAAAATCTATGGAAGGAACTGGAGTTCTGTGTTTCTACGCAACTGTCTCAGAACCTTAGATCTGAAGAGAACCTGCAAAAAGAAGTGGTCTAAAATACCTCCCCAGATGTGTGAAAGCCTGGTGGCCAACTGCAAGAATTCCCTTATTCCTGTTTAAAATGGTAAAACATCGAGAGCTGAGTGTGAATTAAAGCACTTCATGATGCTGAATGTTCTCTGAGACAAACGGAAAGACATAAAGTGTTCTCACAGTGTGGGCAAGTATGCTTTGAAGTCACTTGCCAAGACTGGTACTTACAAAATGTACCAAGGAAGAGGCAGGAAACAAAAGTTAACTGAAGCAAATGTCAGACACCTTAAGATTTTAAGTGCTAGAGACAGAAGGAAAACCACTGCTAATCTTCAGGCAGAGATGAATGCTTCTAGATCAGAGTCTGACAAAGTCTCCAGAATGACCGTAACAGACGAGTGATGGAACAAGGCTTAAAAGGAAGAATAGCTGCTAAGAAGCCATTATTGAGGCCTGCAAACATCCAGAAATGCCTCAGATTTGCACAAACACTGGACTGTTGATGACCGGGAGAAGGTACTCTGCATTGTCCTGTTTATGTCAGCAGAAAAGCTGAAGAACATTTTGATGCTAGATGCATTGCACCAACAGTGAAACACGGTGGAG